TAAGTGGATATAAGTGAGAGGCTGGAGGGGGGTTTTGCGATGGTTTTGCTAAGTCCACTTAGCTCACTTAGGCCTGGGCATGGTCATAGTAAAAACCATGATTTTTGGCTAGTGTCATATGTAGCAAACATGATTTTTTTTGTGTTTCAAGGCATTGCGGACTGTAGTTTGCGAGTTTTTTTTGCAGGCACGGAGGGGGCCTGAAGCATTTTTTGGCTGTTTCGGGGATAGGTCTTTTACAGGAAATTTTGTATTTTTTTGTAGACAATCTTCTCGAGAAACAACACCTCGTATATGCAAGTAAAGTGCAAACCAACAAGAAACTTCCGAATTTAAACATGCCCACACTGCCCCCCAAAGCTCTTCCTTCCCTCCTGCCTCGGCTGCTGGGCCGCCTGCAGCTGCCTGCCTTGAGCAGGCGGGCCCTTCTTCCTCAGGGTCAGGGTTATATAGATAAGACTATGTTGGGTATTGTATGAAGTATAAGGACATGTTACCTTGTTGTTGTGGTTTTGGTTTCGGCTGTAGCGGAGAACAGTTTGTATGAGTAGATATTTGCCACGAATTGTTGGTTTGAGTGTTTTTTTTGGGGGTGGCTGGGTTATTGCGCAGTATTTGCTGCTGTTGTTTGTTTGTATACATAGTTACATTTTGGGTAGATTGGTTGTGTCTAGGTGGCTGGTTTGTGTCTTCTTTTGGCTCGGTTTGGCTCGGGAACAACGGTGACAGGGCATGTGCATGCATACACACATACCTGGAATGCTGCTGCAGGGCACATGCTCGCAGTGGTTGCAGCTGCAGGGCCTCGCTCGCAGCAGCAAGCTTTCAAGCTCCAGCAAGGATAGCTCACAGCAAGGTTTAGAAGTCGGGATGGCGATGTCAGCGGCGGACAGTGTCATGATCGAAGGCTTTTTGAAGGCGGCGGAAGCAGGAAAACTTGTGCAGTCGATAGACTCGTTGCACCAGTTCCTAGTGCAGCAGGGCCTAGCCTGGAAACAGGTAATCCACTGCCAGCACATTGGTGTGCATTCGGAAAACAGGGATGGCCTGGGATGCAGCTCGTCGCACGTTCACGAGCTGCTGACAAGCATCGCATCGATTGGCTTCTCGCAGCAGGAGGTCAAAGGAATCTGCCTGGAGGTCCCCTCCGGTGCAGAAGGGGATCCCATCAGAGAATTCAACGACAACTTGATCAAGGAATCCGGTAACAAACTGGCCCCACTGACTGGCATGCGCTATGCCTCCATCGTGGGCAGCCACGCCAACCAGGCAGCAAGGTGCCTCTTCTTCAGGACTCCCCACGAGGACACACGCCTGACGAACGATGGCAAGCTCTCGTTGGAGAGGCTTGAATCGCTAGATCCCGCATGGGCGAAGTCCATCACAAACGGCCACGAATGGCTAGTCGTCAGCTTCCAGGTCGCCCGTTCTTTCCCCCAGTACGTCCTCTTAGCACAGGCTGCGGGTAACGCTGCGGGTCAAATCGCAGCGGTCGAACATGAGGTCCAGCTCGCCAAGCGGGTCAATGCGAGCATAGCCGCATTCTTGCAGAGGACGAAGAGCCAGTCCGTGACGTACCAGGACGTGGCGACCGAGATCTTGAGGAGCCGTTCCCCGCATGCGGCGGCTCTGCCGTCCATCTTCACTTTCGTCATGAAGTGTGGTGGTGGCACGGGCACTACGAGCTTCATGTCGAAGACAGAGCGC